CGGTACAATAGCTAAGATGTTTCTCATTTTTAGCTAACTGTAGTAATGATGTCCGTAAGGACAGAGTTGTTCATTGGCTTGTTAATTTTCCAAAAAAGGCTACCTTACAAGCATGTTAACAGTATTCGCAAAGTGAGGCACGGTATCCTCCGCCCCGCCTTAACATAACAGTCGAAGTAGCAGCTAGTGATCTACGGATGCACCATGCTTTCGCTTTCCGACGAGACATCCGTTAGTGCTAAATCCGTGGCCCCAATCTAAACACTCATTCATATTACGTCTAGCACTATAACTTTGTTGGGAAAACTACTTTCAATGCGCACCTACAACTCCGTATATGATGTCATTCACTCGAGGGCGCTCGCCGAACAGTTGTCGCACTTCTTCCAAACGCACTTGGATTTTAAAAAAATGGTGCTAACCATATAGAAACACAGACTAATGAAGCCAATTTTCAAAACTGGCAATGCTTTGGAAACCGCAAACTATCACCCAGTGACCCTCCTCCCTGTGCTCTTGAACATGATAGAAGTAATCATCGCTGAGCTCTTAGCCGATTGTATGGGATTACAAATTCTTAACACAACCAATCTACTGATTGCACGTGGGTGTTGGACGGAAGCGGCAGACAGAGGGATAGGAACTGATGTCATTTACCTATACCACTGCATTCTGCTTCAGAGACTCGAGAACTACGGTGTTAGGAATCATGTCCTTTGTTGAATAAGGGGATTCCTTGCAACGGCGGCAACTACAGGTTAGAGTTCGGAGCACCTGGTGCGATCCGATTCATGTCGGGTTCGGAGTACCACAGGGAACGGTGTTGGGGCCGGATCTGTTCCTCGTGTTCAATGGCGAGCTTATGTGCCTTATTGCCTTGGATTTTTTGGTTTGTTGTTTATGTTAAGAAGTGGCGGGTAATCACCGACCGAGTCGCGATGCACTTCAACAAGACCTGGACAGTGCGTGAGTGATCATATTAAGATATGCTCCAGTTTAATTCTCCCAAGTGTAGGGCAGTCCACATTCTTCATCAGCCGTACAGCACGTCTTGCATGCAGTCACTTGGGGGCACAACATTGGGATACTAATCAAGGCTGATCTCATTTGCTCAAAACAATGTGAGGGGGTATCAAAGACCGGGAACCAACAAGTCCGTCAGTCACTGCTGAACCCTAATCAGCAGTCAGGTTCTTTGTTTGGGCACCAATGTCAATGCGTGCGGACAGGTGGCTGTCCCTCTCTCTACAACTGCGCCCAGATCGGTGATCAGAAGTCTCGACGGTGCGTTATGGCGCACCAACGCGAAAACGCGGCGCGTATCGATCGGATCACGGGGCGCACGGAACTAAGCAGAGATTGAACAATCGCTGGCTCCACATCGACATAAACTGTCCCGTAGCATTTTTATAACCTGACCTGCAGAGGCACTGCAAAATCGTCGATAGCCTTTAGCTTCGTCTTCAGAATGAGGCCAAACAACTCAGCAGTGATATTGTTGCACCAGTGGGTTTTGGCAAAAATGTACCAAGGCTGTGAACTGGAGCAATAATATGATCCACACAACTTAGATCCGAGAGCACTGAGTAGCGGTCATCGAAGTGGTTCGAATGGGCGTACGCACGGGAATGCGTGATGAGAATTGGAAGAGTAGCCTCTGGTGAAGCGGGATAGCAAAGATAGTGCGGTCACACTCCAGCTGACCATAATTCCAGCGCATCAGTGTGGTTTATTGACCCACCAAAATAAGTTCATAATCCGACTACTTTATTGCTTTAAAACATATATGCACAAATGAATGGAGGATTATTTTAAAGTACTCGTTGTGATTGGATTGTGATGTATAATCTCAATGTGGACTGTGATTCGCACTGAAGCGAACTTTGCTCAATTCGATCACTAGGACGGTAGATGAAACAGAGAGAAATTGGGTGTTGGGGGAGCAACGCTCAATTTATGAGGCCGTACGACAATGTTTGTCTACCTGCACATGCTTAATATTTGTGTGCAGCATCATGTGGTATATCCTAACTTGGTGCGCATAGTAGAAATAAGCTCTCGCCGCGCTGGAGACGCTACAGTGTCTATTCGTCATCGCTGTCTATGCACTCACAAACTCTAGCGATGAATCGGTGAAAACTTCTATCGCCAATTGAACGAGCTCCTTCGCCACAGAAGAAGCACGGACACTGTTGTGCTGGCTGGGAATCTGAACGCGCAAGTTAGAAAGTTGTCCACTGATGAAATGCATTTGGGCGGTCAGCACAGTGTAGGCTCCCGTAATGATAACGGTGAGCGGTTACTTCATTTGCGTGAAGATGTTCGCTTATTTTTGCGAGCACCAATTTCCGACACAGCACCCGTCGGAGGGTGACTTGGCGCCCACCAGCCTCGAACCAACTACGGACACAAATCGATCACATTGCGATAAGTTACCGATGGAGAGGCTGCGTCCAGAACTGTCGCTCCATTTGGAGCACATGTGTGGACACCGACCATGCACTTGTATGTGCTGACATGCGGATGCGTTTTGGCGGACAAGGATGCCCGCTGTCACCTTTCCTCTTCAACTTCGCCATTGAGGAAGTAATGGAAATCGCGTTCACAGGATACGACATCGATGGTGTGGATTTGCTCCCAGGAGAACGACTTCTTGACTTGCAGTATGCTGACGATATTGCCCTCATCTGTGGCAGCTCATAAACGTGCCAAGCGGCACTGGATAAATTAGCGCTGGCTGTTCTTCACTTCGGGCTTTGCTTCGCACCCTCGAAGTGCAGAGCGTTCCTCCAAGATTGGCGTGGACCGCCTCCTACGCTGACCACCAGTGCCTTCGCAATTTGGTTCAAATCTGGTGGGAACACCGAGTAAGCAACAAGCGTGTTCGACGCCTTGTTTACGGCACAGGAAAAAGAACTGAACCGCTCAGCACCGTTATTTCACGCATCAGGCTCCGATGACTCGGCCACGTGTTATGCATGCCAGCCCACCGACTCCTGCGACGTGCGTTGTTTGCGCGCCGGGGGCGTGGATGAAAGAAGAGGATGAGTGGCCAAACGATGACTTGGTCGAGAGCAATGAAGGTCCTCACTTCGAAGCTGGCCTTGGTTGGAGCGTCTCGGTTCCCTGGTTTGGGTCCGAAAGAGGATGAACACGTTTGGCTGGATACACTTGTTGATATGGCCAGGAGCCGACCTCAGTGGCGTTCGTGCTGTGAGTTTCTTTGTCCCACCCCATCCCTCTTAGCCTTCCTCTCCAAGCACGATCTCATTATTTATCCTTACATAATTTTGCATAGTAATTTTTTGCTGCATAGCAGCTGGCTGATCGCTTTCCGGAACGATGCCCATCCATTGCTGGTAGCTCAGCTGACTTGCACCTGTTGCACTTTCCCCCATTTTTCTTTATGTATTGCGGCACAGTAGCTGAGGTGTTTCACATCTACCTAAAGTATATAATGATAATGATGATGCCCGGCTCAGATGTGTGGTAGCGAGATGAAAACGGTGGCGAGCGCCGTGCTCGCATAATCAATTGGTTCTAATCACCAAATCAATGTGTGCTAGTCTTTTCAACTCAGTTACCGCGTACCTGGACGTCCCACACGAGCGATAAGTTGTCGCTCCGAAGCATTCGAAGCGATGGTTATCCGCCTCTAGAATCCAGACCTATGCGCGGAAAAGTGATTTGTCCAAATTCTCTGTTTGTCTTGGCAGACCACTATAATAGGCTGAACATCCTCCGAGGTTTCTTGTTAGCTCTGATTGTGATTGAAGATCGAATCGCATTTGAACGGCTGTTCGCAAAGCTTTGTTCGAATAAACGGACTCCACCGATTTCCATAAGCAGACTCCGACGCCGCAGATATTGTGGGCCAACGAATGATTATTATCGAGGAAAGCAGAACGTTTTTCACGTCACTCTGGCCGCTCTGACACACGATGCAAATACTTAGGGACACGATACGAAAAGAGTCTTATTCGCTTGAACCATGGTTCGTGTTCGCCGTTAGCATAGAGCACCTCGACAGATTAGTCTAGGGATGCGAAATGTGCGAAAAAGAAGAACAGCGTTAGTCACAAGATTATGCAGGAATACGGTACTCCCCGACTGTCATTTCCTAGAGGGACTTCATCCCAAGATAAACCATTGCTGAAATTGGGGTGGTAGAATAGACGGAGGTTGACTTTGAGGCCATATCGGGAGCCTTCAGCCAAACTGTTCGGCACAAAGATATTGAGGAGCTCTAAGGTGACTCTGGAATCCCGCAAAGGTCGGGTGTATTTAAAGCGTGTGCTACGGTAGAGGGTGATACAATCACTCCTTCGGTCAACTGTAGTTGAGCTGTTGGTGGTTTGATTCCAAGTTGCTAAAAACTGATTGGCTGGATGCAGTTTTCACTAAGCCAGTGGACGGTAAGAACGTTCGGTCATTGTCAAGGTCTGTTGTGCGTTCCAGTCGAGTTTAACTAACAACTCATCAAATGTCATCTTTCATGTGCCCATGTTTTGGGGAAGCAGGTTATCGATCTCTGTGAGTCAACTGGCATAAGTGTGTGTTGAGACCGATTATGATTTCCTTCTAAGTGATCAGGAGAGTCAGGGTGTCACTGTGATTAGCCCGATGCATCACGGAAGTATGCAGGAAGCTGCGTTACATCATAGTCTCTTTCCACTGGGATAGTGGTTGCGACACAGAGCAACTTCCAAACGATTAGGGTAGACCCGTTCCCCAAAAATATGCAAGACAGTATAAGCTAAGATCGATAACCTAAAGTTGAAGTGCCTAACTGAATCAAGCTGTGCTCAAAACTTGAAATCGCATATGAGATGCCACATCTCACAAGACAAGCAACACCAACTACCAAACAAAATTCCGCCAAATTGGCACGACCTTGAATGAGGGTTGGTGGTAACTGAGTCATTGTCCTGTCGACCATTGGGCCAGAATCATTCAACGATGACTACTAATGCATAAAGGGTCGTAAACAAAATGCTCACCGAATGTGGAGTACAGAGACATTGTTTTGATGGACACGACCTCAGGACAGTGCAGCGCTTCGCTGATTGTCCGACTGTGCTTTCTGAACCAAAGACATCGTTACATATGTGTATTGATGGAGGTAGTTGACGTCGGTTAGGCTTGAAGAGAACTAGAAATGTTTTTGTCTTCAGTGACTCGGGCATAGAAACAGTGGCGTCGCTCACGATTAGGACAGCCCAGTACAGTTTGAACCTTGGAGTACGGAGCCTCCAGAGTGGCCAAAGACGGTCAGAGTTGCACGGGGTAGTTGGGCTGTCAGTTGACGCCATTATGCTAACCGCGGAGCTCCGCGTCACACAGGATGGTCTGGGGGAGGCCGAAGAGGTAGATGAAGAAGATGGCATGGGCAAAGTTAACACACGTGAGGCAAGAGACCATTGGGATAACAAAGCGGACATAGATGTCGTTCGTTTAGGTGGCCCTGGTAGAAAGTTTCGTGACTCTGTGTTCCGCGCGCTCGCAGGTAAAACGCGTAAGTTCGAAGCGTTACGATGCTCCTTGTCAGCTGATAACAACGCGTCACAACTTCCGAACGAAGGATATGAGCAATTCTTTATTCCGATAGAAGAATGCAACATATTGTCAATGGCGCGATTGAATTCCGAGACTGTTGAACGGGCACAAAGAAGATGTCCCTGAAATGCAATAAAAACGTACTAATTTAGCGGTCGTGTATACCACATCCTCGCAGTTGCGCAAAATATGCATTTTTATGCTCAAGACAAAGGAAAGCGTCGGACATCAAAAAGCATTCCTTGATTCGGGCTGAGTCTGGAGCAAAAATGAATGTGTGAAAAAAGGACATATTCCTTTCAGTGCCTTTCAAAGAAGGTATACATTCTGAGTAGGAAACTGTCTACAGCACTAAGTTATATGTACCCGGCTGCTAGAGTTCGTATTCTCGCCGAAACCGTTCCACTTATCACCCCGCTTAAAGGACAGAATTTCGGCCCAGTCGGACTCATTTGTTCTGTATCAGTTCACTTACATCTGTGGTGTAAAGTACTTCTCACACACGAGACGCTTGCCAAAGCGGATAGCGGAACACTGCCACGCCACGTTACAATGTGACTAGGAATATCTACAGCTCCATCTTGGAACACCTAATAAGCAGAGGATATCAGACACGAACGAAAGATGATTTCAAAGTTGTGTATGTCGCACCAAAATGCAACCCAAAAGTACTCAGGAAGCATTTATTGCCCACAATAGAAACAATTGCGAGCAAGCTGCTAAAGCCGGAACGGTGTAAACTGCGTATACTACCGTGGCCATATCCTCGTCAGCTGACTTCATGCATAATGGCAGCGGGCTTAAACTGGCAATGAATGCCACTCCCTTTGGTCAAAGCATACACGCCAAATCGCTGCGCCGCTACTAATAACACTTATTCCAGTAATTGCATCGCATAATTGATTGCATGACGAGATTTATCAAAGAAACTTCTTCTTAGTCACTCTTCTGGCAAAATATAATGTCATGTCAACCTTCTCGGACGAGTGCCAGACTCGAGGTCGCGGTTAAGAGCAGCTGAAGTCTAACTTAAGTGGTAACAGACTGAAAATACGGAGAAACACCTCTATGCACAGACCGTTGGCCAAGTGATTCGGGCGACTGGCCTGTGATCTACAGGTCACCCGATCGAGCCTGCGTAGATTTGGGCGACTTCTAGCGTTTGTGTGGCATCGAAGCGTCAGGATAGGTACCAGGTTAGTACTGATGGGTTTTTGACCAAGCTATAAAATAGGCAGTCACCTACCAAGAATTATGAACAGCAAAGCGAAGCTGCATGCACATTGATTAGAGGGCAGGAAAAAGATTACTTGTCTTTACTGGTATCTTCATAGGTTGTAGCACTGAATACGTGGATCTAAGGAAACACGCATACTTATATATCCTCTATGTTTCAGCTGCTCGTCATACCTCAATGATCTTCGAGTCATCGGCACTCCCATTTCTTGGTCCCGCAGTCAGGGAGACGCATTGCTTTAACAGCGGCTAAGCGCAAAGGCAGGGACCTAAAGTGCTGCCGTCGAGTGGAAGGCTGACCAAAACGCGTTCCCTTCTATCCCAACACCGTAAGGGTATTTAGGATGCGATGCATACATGTCCGCATGTCATGCGTAGGACGTAACCGCGTTATCCCAGTTAGCGTCGCAAAGCAAGCTTGTAGAAAGAAGACTTGTGTTCACTATTACCTCATACAACTTCATTTCACTCTTTTGGTCATCAATGAGCAAGGTAATGTTATTAATGTAATCCAAGCCGATCGCGCACTTGGAAGATCTAAGCGAAAACCTTGGAAGCCTTCAGGAGTTTTCAATGTGATCTAGGACACCATTGTCGTACTCCAGCACTGACAGTGAATGAAGAAAAAACTCGTCGTAAATCACAATTGTTGAAGAGGGAGATATGACAGTCGGCAGTACGCTTCTCAAAAATACCATTTTTTATCATGTAACGGAACGGATCAAACTATGAATATAACTCATTGAATGGATTGGTTTCATGCTAAAAACTGATTATTACTTTCGATAGGGAGCAAAATACAAACCGAAACCATAAATTGTTAGTGTTGGTAAGTGAGAATCGCAAAGCTCTGGGTTGACCGATCAGGTCTCCGGATACTGAGAAGGAATTGTACCCTCCTAACGATTGCACAGCCATGAAAGATCGACTGGAGCAATGAGACCCATTAGTGGGTTTAGTGGTTGGAAATTGTTAGATACATTGGCACATCAGATGGCCATGAGCCCGCACAATCGCTGACGGGCAGGTGGTCGTCCGTTTTTGGAGGCGTTTCTGCAATAAAAACAACAACCGCTCACCTCCCGTATTGCGTGTAACCCACTGGAAAAGTGTAAGTCCAGACAAAGTGCTCTTGTGGGCGACAGAGGAGATGTAAACGGTGCATTTCTCCTCGGTGCTCGTGACGGGAAAGGTGACGTGCGCTGCAGTGACGGTGAAAGTAAAGGTAATGACGTTTGTTCGTTCGAGCTCAGTCTCGCCAGCTCATCACCCACATGAAGCTGCACGGTAGCCAACGCAGCAAGCGCCAAATGAGACAGAGTGCAATCGTTAGAGCCCGAGTGATGATGGCTGAGTGGAACGGGGGAAGAGGATCGAATGGTGTTGTGCAATGGAAAGTTCTTATCCGAGCAAAATGAGTTCGCGTCGGAAGAATCATTCAACGTGGAGGACACCGCGGTCACTCGGATTGTGGGCGTTAGTGAACGACGAATGGCAGAAAGGTCTGTGGGCACCGATTCATCGAACAATAAACTTCTGGAAGGTTGAGCCAGATGGACCTTGTATTGGTCTGTGTGTATAGAAACAAAGAGATAAACAATAAGCGTTGTTGATGAGAGCATTTGGGGTTTGTATAAACGACACAACATGGGTGCACGTATGACGAAGAGTGCCTAAGTGTCTTGCGAGTGGTCACAAAAACAAACAGTTAGCTGCGTGAAGTTAGGTGCGGATGAGAACACAGACAAACGGTGTGCATCAGGGTTACTCCATCACGTAGAAAATACTGTGCGTAGGTGCGCTCACGCTTGGACTGTAGCATACTTACCGCCAGCATACTATTCAGAGCGAGCAAACGGGATAACAGAGTAATCTGGTAAATAGCGTCGGAGTTAAATGGTGGAGGGGGACACAACTGTTGAGGTAGACAGGTGGGTAGATGGGTAGGGTAGTGTCATTAAAATCGAGTCACTGTCGTGTGGATGTCGGCATCGTTGTACAGTGGAATACGAGACCTGGGACGCGTAGGAACTGCAGGCGACCTTCGGTCGATTGCGATGGGAGGAAAAAACACAGAGTTAACGGGGTACATTTTCGCGCTACCTTTGTGATTCACTACCGACGGGTGCACTGAACGGGCATCCGTGTGGTGGGGTCGGTCTGCGTGTTTTTGCAATTGCGCAGTTGGTGATGGGGTTCGCTGAGGAGAGTGTCCATGCAACAATCCATTCACACTGTCGCTGAGAATAACCGAGTGTGAGGCAGTGAGTCCACGAGAACTTGCAGGGTGTTCCAGTAGTGTGGTGGGGCTGTGTGAGACTGTAAGGTGCGAATCTCCCCCAGACGACTCCAACGAAAAGTGTGGGTATAGCGACACCATTGATTTGTGTTGAGCCTTTGTATGTGCTTTTCTCACATAATAAGCACGGGAATTAGATGACGGTCTATGGGAAAAAAACGAAGAGAATACGTGTGGTTGAGAATGCTGAAAAACGTGAAACGACCTGCGCGCATGCAGAAAGCCTGTTACTCGCTCAAGTTGAAGCTCGGAAATCAAATATCTACTCTAGGCTATAACTTCGATCCGGTTGAACGAGAGTCAACTAGCTAAAAATACACGTGTATCTCAATTATATTGATTAAAGTAAATTGCAAAACCACACATGTTTATACAATGAACAATAATACATAACGGATGAAAAGCAGATCTGAGCATGCAATTTGCAAGTTGGATATTGGGATCTAACTCTGGATAACCACATCTGACACATGTGCCATTTGCTAAACTCCGGCCAATCAACTTTGTGTCACCCTTCATGTGGTTCCCTATTCGATGCTCGAAAACAAAGTGCTTATGTCACTTAAAGTATATATATATATATATATGTATATATATATATATATATATACATATAATCTAAGCGCTTACCGCTTTAAATGTGTCACTCATTGATGGTGGTGAGAAGTGGAAATTGAGTGCCAGTGTATAAAAACAGCACTGGAAGAAGCTACACCTGTTTTTCTCCGTGTGAGATAAACAGAAGCGCTCAATCATGCACCGCTTTCCACGTATCGATATCATATATAAATTCAATTAGAGTGATTCGAATAAACGCTCCGGAGTATCACAATTTATGTAAGTGTTGGGAGCTAAAAGCAAGATCCAAATCTCCCTTGAAGAGAGCCGAAGTAGGGAAAGAAACAGCTGAGTTTTGGAAAACGTTCCAGAGGTAGCAAACCGAACTGTGAGGTAATTCCGTCGGCACTCTGGATGAATGTATTGCTCACTCATTTTCGAACGATTACCACTGAGGTTGGCGTTGTGGCTGTGCTTCAGTAAATGGCGATTTGGGCAAATCAATACAAGAATTCCCTGTAGTTGTCAGCAGTGTCCGGTGTAAATATCCGGTCCGAGGGGTGTTCGAGCCTGACTATGAAACATGATAATGATAACTGCCAGTGTGTCCTCTTTTAGTCCATCAATAGCGCAAAGTTTGTGGTTTCGAGTTGCTCACATTTAATTTTCGGGTTATTACTTTCAGGTTTACATTCTTATGGCTGAAGAAAATAAAACATGAAGAACAGAGGTCATGGAATTTTTAACGCTAGAGACGATTCAGCAGCAGGAAGTCAATGAACGCATGATGAGTATATACCAAGACCACCACTCTGTATCAGTTTCAGTTCATTTGAAGAACTATGATCCGGACACTGAAGTGAGGTGCATCCAGTTACCAAAACCCACACCGTAAGAATAACAATAAATAGCAACCGCAAGATAGTTAAGTCGAATGCAAATGGTATGTAAAGAAAATTGAAGCAAGAGGGAGTTGCGTTGGATTTACCAAAATGGAGCATGAATTAACAACTGGCTGCGCCATATCTGTCACGGTCTTTAACCATTGGTATGGACCGTCCCGAGGCCCTCATCCGTGAAGACGACACGCACCAGCCTGACCAAGTCTCTCAGACGATTGCTTCATTGCACTATACCGCATCATGGACTGGCCACCCTGCGGTTTCACCTAACTTGGTGCAGGCACGGCGTATAGTGTACGCCGAGGAAGCTGGTCAACGGGCATACGGAAGACATGGCCTAGCCAACGCATGCGATTAAGATTCGGCAAACACTCTAGAAAGGCACCAGAAGGTTTCTTGCCTAAATCCAACTGGCGGACCTCAGCATTGTACGCCCGGTGTTCCCACTAGAAATGAGTAATACACCGTAAGCACCGGTGATCAAACACGGCCAGGTGTTTAATATCTTCAATGCGAACTGGATAGGTCTTTGATCCGTACAGTAATATCGGCCTTGTCGCAGCGTTATGCATCCCATCTTTCACTGGTGACTGATATCCCGCCAAGTGCATCGCGTTCTCTCACACTTTCGAGACATCCGCTGGAAGGGGTCGACAAATTATGTCACTCTTGGAGTTGTCTAAGTATGGGCGGTTTGACGGATGAGATCTCCCTGCGTGTCTCCAAGGATAGAGTCGCTTGCGCTAAACTCCGTCACATGTGGCTTCTTCGTGACCTCAGCCTCCCTCTCAAGGGACGAGTCTACAATGCTAAGGTAGGAGCGATTCTGCTGTACGGCTGTGCGACTTGGCCCGTTCGCAAAAGCGATGTTCAGCGGCTATCCGTTTTTGACCATCGCTGCTGCGAAGCATTGCTGGTGTTCGATGGCAGTATCACATCAGTAATCAGGAAGCCCGTCGGCGAGTCTTCAGATCTAACGAATTCCGCCGACCGATTGGTAGCATCTTTTCACTGCTGCGGCTTCGCTTACTTGGGCATGTGTACCGCATGTCTACCCAGCGGCTACCACGACGTGCCCTATTTGCGAGCACAACCGTGGGGTGCAAGCCACGACAAGGAGGTCAGTGCAAAACTTGGATCCAATGCGTTACGGCGCAAAGCTTGAAGATGGCTGTTGCTGGGCGTTCCCGACTACCGATTGGGAACCAAAGAACCCCGAGCATATCTAGCTGCAAACGCTACAGGATATAGCCAAGGACCGTACGTAATGGCGCACTTGATGCGAGACTCTTCTACCTTAACAGTCATTTTCGCTTTCAATCTATTTTTTCCTCTTATGTGTTGTGGCACTCAGCCAATTGTAATGTAACTGGTAAAGTACTGAATATATATATGCTATCCTGCCGTCTCCATAGATGGTTGAGCCTCTGGAAAGCCACACGGGCCTTGCCGTTACGTGAAGTAACTTCCTCAGTGATGTGACCACAAGCGGTGAAAGCTATCAAGATAAGTGAACCGATCCATCCCTTCCAGTGGCTGTTTGCTGATAATGAAAACCGGTGCTATGGCGGTCCAGTCTTGAAACAGTACTTCGCAATTCGAAAATGCAAAACACATGCCGAAGCGTGCGGCGATACTCTATCCAGTAGTGTTTTTAAAGTTATTACATCAGAGCTATGTCGTCTGTATACTCCAGGTTTGTCATTCCGTCACCTGGAACTCAGGTAGAGTCTGAAGGAACCGAGTCATTCATGACCATTTCGATCGCAAAGTTGAAGTTTGAAGAACTAGTCATGGTTGTAAGTGGGCTGAGATGTTGCCAGGGCACCCAGATCTAGACAGGAGCACGATTATGGTCCTTAACCAAAGCCTATGACTCCAAAACCTGTCCGCAAGACAGCGGGTGGCAACCATTCGGTTTTACGGAAATGGACGCCATGTCATCTCAAACCCCCAACCTAGAGGATCAGAGTGTAACCACTGACCAACCTGTTAAGAGTAGTTCTTAAGTGGCTCGGATGCACTACCCAGTATAGTTCAATGAATCGACGAGGTGCGCAAACAGTTACCCCACCTTAAGGTCCAGTCTCATCGTGACGGACAGATAAACTGTCAGCTGTACGCAGTAACGACGCTTCGCTTCCGCGCGACTGCCACTAGTCGCACGAGGACGCCCGCCCCTAAGTGGATTCGAACCGGTGACCTTATGACTGTAAGCCAGGCGTGCAGACCACTCGGCCACCGGCCGATGTGAAAACTGCATTCATGTTAGGCGTGAGCACGTAAATAAAATAGTTGTTATCATGATTTTTGCTTGCCTTCTATGTCGGTCTCAAGGCTTATCGAGCACTCCTCGTACCTTTAGGCTTTGTTGGTAAGGTTAGAGAGCCCATTGACCTTCTTCGTTGCCGTGCATTGTGGGTTCTCTAGCACCTCGAGGTCGCGCCTCAACCAGGGTCGCGTAATCAGTCCATCCTAGCTAGTATCAATCCTCGAATATTCATACTGTAGAGGGGCCGCTTCCAAGAATGGCTCTGGGGAGCTCTTCGGAGCTAGCTGAGAGCGGATCGCGAAAGACGGCTAGCGACGAGCCTGGGCCCGGAACTACGGAGCGGGAATATGTGGACAGCGCAATAAATCAGACATATATGCCGCTAGCGCAGCCCACAGGACCGACGCCGAGCCGATTGACACAGCCCAGAACAAGCAAGTCGAGAGCTCTCGAACGACTCCTGGCCGATCCAAATCGGGTACAGAGAAGTGGGGATCGAGGCGAAAACAGGGAGGCGGATCTTCCAAGTCAGAGCTCCCGAGGCGAAAGGACTGGCTCGTCTCTAACATCCGTACCTGTGTTGCGTTGTGAGACGGAAATCTAGTCGATATTCGATGGCGCGCGAGACCCTCATGTGCCCATTTTCGGTGTGCAATAAACGTCTACCCCCCTGTCGTGTCGTTCTCGCTACAATACGAACAAGGTGGAGAGCCACGCTCAGTGGAGATGGATGAGTGTATTGCAAACATGCTATTTCGAAGTGAATCAGAAATCAAACGGATGCAGATTTTGTGGACTAGATGTTGCTAACTAGGGGTCACATCCAACCCAATATCACCATAGCGTCATTTTCAGATTTGAACATTAGACGCCTAATTGTTCAATGCTTGTTGCTGGTTTTACAGATTCTACCACATGCGGGGTGGAGATGACCCATCATTTCTTATGACAGTTCGCACGCTCCATGGCTAACATAAACACCAGTGGTTGTGAAAATGCGGGGAGTGATTAATTTTGAAGATATTTTCAGCGTCTCGGAAGTGCACACAGTCGAACGACAATTCTGCGATTCCTTCTTACGCAATAGTGCTATTCCGTCGTTAAGCATCGGTTAGAAATCTCGATCACTGGTTACGGTAAGATATCTGCACACTCCATCAGAGTGACTGATGGTAGCAGAGTCACTAGCCTTGTTTGATTTCGGTGTATTGAGTTCCCTGTAAACACGAGCCTGATCGAATAAGCTAATGGGAATGTGACCGGTAATGAGCAGTTGAACTGTGTTAGATTTGTCTACACTCACAGTTGAAATGACTGCGAGAGTTGCTTCAAGAGTCTCTACAGACTATGGTAAATGTGGTTGCATAAAACAGCATCACGGTGTAGACAGCTTGACATCCCTATCTCAGTTTTCACAACCATAAACAGACGATTGGCACGAGTTAACCTGTTAAATAATTCACTGAGGTTGTTATAATTTTGTTGATTGTACACTGCACATCACCGCACCGAAAATATCACTTTGCATGGTGGATAAACGTATACAATCGTTTATCAAGCTCAGCAAGCTAATCAACAAAAGGACAACCAACCCGGACTGCCAGTGTTTCAAATTATTTCCACTGAAACAGGTGGTCAACAGAGTAACGGAGATCATTGTGGTCTGTGAGGCGCTCACATTGAGCCAACAAATCTACGTTGGTGGAAATTGACACATCGGCTGAGTCAAGTGTCGAGCGGGGCTTTATGATTATTTTCTGTCGAATGGCTCCGCCGTGTAACAATTCTGAATGGTGTTTTATTCAGCAGAACCTTGCCGGCTTTAATGCATGTCTTGGGGCATCTCTTCACAATGAATTGATCAGAAATGTTGATGGAGATCACGCTATGTGTGAAAAGCAAGTTATGTATATTTGTAAAAACTAAATCCCGGCGTGCATCTAGTCTGATAAGAAACTCCACCAAACGGTTAAACCGAAAGTGAGAACTGGTAGACCTACTGAGTTAGCTGGCTACAAAGCACAACCACAGTAATCGGATCGATAGACATTCGTTACTCGAATTGATTCACGGACGGTTCACGCCTGACCTGAAAGGTCAGAGGACGACCAATCAGCACGCAAAACTAGTATGGTAGGTTTCTGTCACAGTTCTACTAAATTTCCAAACGTGTTCACTTCTAGCATGCGTATGAAGTTAAACGCCAATAACTCTTTGCAATCAGTTTCTCTTAGGACGAGGCACTGAAGTTCCTGTTAGTCCCACTAATACGCGAAATACTCTAGAAAACAGAAATCACACTGTTGCAACTATGCCACTAAAACGAAAAGTGCCTCGGCTAAGACGACAAAAAACAAGTTACAACAGTAGTCAGCACAGATGCCACAGAAACGAAAAGTGCTTCAGCAAAGACGACGAAAAACACGAAGCAGTAGCTGTCCGCCAGATGATACTGCTGATTTATCATCTGAACTGCAAATCCGCATCAATGCGCTTGAAGAAATTATCTCAATGAAAAGCGAACCGCTGCGTTTTGGCGCATAATGCAATCAAGTCATGTCCTGTGAAGTACTTAAAGGCTCAACGGACATGAAATTAGACGCACTATACACACAGCTGGCTTCCTTTTATCCTCAACCACAAACGACACTCAAAAACGCTTACGCAGATCAACATATTCAGTAGATAGAGTGTAGAAAAAATCAAAAACCTTTTAATCGTGGTATGCAATATGAGTTGCTCTAATTGTCAGTGTCTCAGACTCCAGAAGAAGCCGATAATGAGATTATGCCCCATTCTCTCAAAATTTACGGATAAGGTAACAGCTGCACATTTTGTACATAACAAACGGCCCATTGCTGCGCGAAATGACTAAGTATATTCTGGTCAGAAGTGATCAATTGCCACTACAAAAGAGGCTTTCAGGTAAGGCGGATCATGCAGACGCTCATATTTCTCCCACTGACACCAATCTTATTGACGACAATGTGGACCTTGAAGGATTAGAAACACCGCTCCATCTAAAGATACTCGCCAGCACAGAGTTCACCAACCCATCACGAGGTATCACTATACGATAATGCTGACCCGGTCTGTCCAGAAGACATTTGGCAAACTGTTACTGTTAAAAACCCCGCAGAAGTCAGTGCCATCTAATGTGCCCCTTTCACAAGCAACGAGCCCGTAAACTGTATGGCGCCAATTAAGAATCGAACTGCAGTGTGAACTTGGAAATTCGAATACTGGAACCACTCTTTGAGCGTAGCACGTCCACGATGACCGTGCACTGCTTTCCTCCAGCAAAGATTAACAGACTTTTGGAGCTAGTAATCAATGTGGAGGGTGTTAGACACATCAAGCGCAGCCACACCAGGGATATCAAACAAACAACACATTATTTGAAGGAGAATAGACACGCAAAATCGACACGGAACATGTAGCGGAATAACAGAACTGATCAAATCAAATAAAGCAGAATACTTATTATCCAGGTTAAGAATTAGTTTAGATGGAAGTCGGTGTAGACCAACTGCGGCGAAGAAGTATGAGGTATGCAATATCAACCTCCGTATGAGGAACAAATCTACACTATATTAGTGCACTATCTATATCTCTAACTAGGTAAAAAAAAGGTGGAATTGCTTCGGAAACTGTCAACGCTCATTAACGCTTACCTATGAGGAACATTGTTCTTGCTTCCAGCTTGACCCACCCTGGATTCGACGACTGAGAAGTAATCTCACTCTTCCTTGCAGTATAATATATCTGTGTCTACTCAACTAGTGCGGCTGTCGCATTACAAAATGACGAATATTCTTACAGAAGGCCAAGCAAAAGTTCCACTTAAAATTCTTTCTGGTGACGTACGTCTATCTGCGCAATAAACTAGCGTTTGAACTGAGCACCAACAAAGGCCGGACTACATTTATATCTCATTCAAAAGCTTTTCATTCCATGCTGAATGAGTCAAACATTTCCACCTTTGCCCATTTACGAGTGCAATTATGGAATCCGGCCTGAAAAACGTATGACTGGACCAGCTTCCGGATAATGTTACATATGACATATCCCGCAAAACATTGCATCAATGATCCATATTGAACGCAAATTCATAAATGAGATACTGATGAAACACGCTGTAAAATTATCATTCCACAAAAGGGAACGTATCCCGCCCGTTGGGAAATATACCCATTATTTTATTTACTTAAAATCTCAAATACTGGGCTGCCGAGTAAGTGGACAGCCGGGAAACCGATAGTGTAGGTGATGATACATACTCTGAAGTTGGGACCTTCCTGGGCAGTTGAATCTGGTATAGTGTAATCCATCGAGTTTAACGACTCAGCCTTCAATGCCAGATCGTAACAAACTTTCGTAACATCAGTATACCTGTGTGTAAATACTGCGCTGCCACAAGAGTGTCTTGCTTAGCAGCGATGATAGGTCGCTGTAACTTGCTGACAAGACAGCAACAGACCAAGTTGCAATCTGGCAAGATGTTTTTCTCGTCCCTAAACTTTTCATCTCAATTATTTTGAAAGTATTCCCGATATATGGTTGTATCCAAATAGAAGTGACTCGTAAAGCGTCTTAGAGTCAAATCAAACGAGCAACAGCTGAAGGAACAATCAAATAAATTATAGGAACACGAAAACTCCGTGGTGAGTAGCGCAAACGGTGTTGCAATGACAACTGCGTCGGTCAACTTTAGAGGCCTCACGAAAGGGAGCTTTCTGATCGGTTAAAGGTAAGCGGCGTACAGAACATATGGATCATTTAACACGAAACTCGCATCAACATACGGTGTCCAAACACCTCCGTACACAGGTCGAGATCAACTTACGCGTTGGGTGTGCTTTTTGCATCGGTTTGGTCGAAAAGGCTGCTCAGTGGATGTTGGAGAGGAAGCGGAGTGTTCATATGGCCTATTCGACTGTGTTCGGTCGATCCGGATGAGGTAGACCAAGGGGAGTTTGGACTGACCGGGTCACAAGTGCGCACTGAGTTGGAATACTATGAGTAGAGGAAACAGCATATAGTACAAATGATATCCGGACGGAAGTAATCAGAACTCTTCAGAATACCCGTGTTTTATAGAACAGAACACGAATAGAAATCGGTGAAATGTTATAGTTGTGAGTTGATCTTTTGCAAGGCAATTGGTTAAACAACTTGGATCCAGGTATCTATAATTTAAGTGGATGTATTCGCCATGACTTGCATGGTTATAACCAATAACGGCTGGAAAATAATAGGAAATGCAAATCAAACTAAAAAGAAAAGGGGGCTACAGGAGAGATGGTTGACGACACCGATTGAGATGGTTGACTAAATGCAGAAGCGTCACTGGTCCCGTGACTGTGCCATCTCGGATAAAAGACCCAACCACTGATTTGGATTACTCCAAAGCCCTCAGGTATCTCACACGATTTTCCTAATCCTTTGTGACACTTTTTCGGCCAGCCATACGCCGTGTTTTTGCCCAGTTACATGCTACAGGTCACCAGACAACGTACGCTTAGGCAGAGGGTAGACAAACGTAGGAAAAAGTGCTTCATGGATAACAGATGCCAAGCCCAAACAGCTACTTACGGCCTACCGCAAAATGAATGAGTTCTCATTCATGATGCAACACCAAAAGTTGGCCACATCGCCGAAGTTGGTTTATCACACCAAACAAACCGCTGGTGAAAAATAGGCTCTCAATAGTCAGTATAAAAACCATGACCTCGTCAGTCTCTTAAAGAGTAGACTATGAAACATAATCAAGGCACATTCTCACTCATAGCATCAGATGACTGCAACATCACAGACCTTGCCCAAATTAGTTAAATGTGTAACCAATATCACTGCGTCTTATTCACCGTGGATACTTTACTCATATAAATGATCTTGCCACCAGTCACAGTTGACCAACTCAATTGTATCAGATTTGAGCTCAACGATGTACACAAAGTTCGCAGGTGCACAAATTATCATATCTCGGGAGTCCAGAAAATATTCCCCACGTATTCGTGAAATTCGGCGAGGACGATATTCTGCTTCTATTGTTCAATCTATCCATGGAAACTGGCACTGCGCAAGCTCAGTGTAAAGAAGCCATAGTTGTACCACGACATACATTAGACTCCCTGTTCCAGTCTAAAAATTATCGCCCAATAAGCCACATATCTAATGTATGAAAATGATGGAGCGACATGTCAAAGCTAGAAATGTCGAATTTCTACTGTCAACAAAGCGAATAAACAACTCTCAGCACGGCTTATTAAATACTCGGTATAGCTTAAAGCGCCACCTGGAATTTCTAAACCATATAACTGCTTCACATGATCTTGCGACGTCGGCAACTATAACTTGGCTCGCTACACACAAGACCTTTGATCAGGTGCCTCATGAAAAACTAACCGCTACGGGATCGGTGAACCCTTGCTTTCATGATTCAGCTCACACCTTGCAAATCGCACGCAGACGGCGCAAATCCAAAGACTCAAATATGAGCTTACACTTGTCACCGGCGGCGCAATACAAGGCAGTGTCCTTGTGCCGCTACTGTTCCTAATATTGTTAACGATATCTTTGACGTAGCAGAATTCAGCACACCATACCTCTGCTGATGACATCAAAATAGTATACAGTTTCCGTCCGGATGTCTCCAATGAGGCTGCCAAAATAATCCAACTCGATCTCCATGCGGTAGAAACCTGGTGCTCAAAGCGGAAAATGTCTTTCTCTACTGACAAATGAATAATGCCCATAAGTGCGATTTGACTTGACGATAAACCACAATTTTATCCTACGATAGTGCACCTGGGATTGCGATATTCATGTTCACTTGACTTCTGGAGACAAACATGCCATGGCATTGTGAGGGCAAGATAGAGTATTGAATTGCTAGTTTAGACCTTTTATTTACAAGAGTCAATACTTTATATATATATATATATATATATATATATATATATATATATATATATGGTTGGCGGCATCCGGTTTCGGATTTGCCTGTCACTGTGGCCAGCCACAGAACGCCTGCGCCTACAGAGGGACCATGGGTGGCTTGCGCTGCACCACCCACAGCTCCAACCATATATATATATATATATATATATATATATATATATATATATATATATACATATTGTTCGACTTACGTTGGTGTATATCGGCTCAAGAAACCGCCGCACTACAGTGGAACAAGTACAGAGAGCGTTCATAAAACCTTTTCTAGGTACTTCCTCAAAGCTGGAATATTCTGCACGATGGGATAAGCTCAAGCTCCGGCTACGGCGCATGAAGAACAACCTAGTCAACTTTCACAACATATGTACAGAAATATACACGAACTCATGAATAATGCTCATGTTACGATAAGAAGTCCAAACAGCAAATAGATCACTTTTTGATTATTCTCATCAGGCAGTTACAGTAATAAGAAAAAAACGTACACTGCGGTAAGCTGCTGTTAGCTATGTTGAGGACAGCTAAGCCAAGAGTTTGAACGGAAACAGTAAGTCAGACTGATGCCTAGGTCGATTCATGTATGGTAGGCCTCGCAGCCGATTGTAATCCACCTAGGCTAGGCTTCACAGCCGACAGCACCCGTTAATGTTCCACACCGAGTAACTGCCGTATTGCCAGGGCAGGAGAAGCACTTGTGCAAAGGCTCGCTGCTTGCACAAATCGGACAGGTTGGCCTACCGAACAACCTCCTCGTTGTGCCAGCTGGTCAAGGATTATCTCGGTCCAGCGATTGGTTAGGCGGCAGTATTCCAGGACGTGGTTGATTCTCGTCTGGCAAGAGTTCTCCCTATAAAAAGCCACATGTACCCGTTTAACAACACTGCATCGTCGCAAATGTGACTTGTCACTAAATAAAGACACTATCCTTTGTTACACCTTGGTGAAGCATTGTATCCCAGCACCATGATGCAGAAATCGTGGGAAAGATTAAGGCCCTGTTTGGCAACTCACCAAGCGAAAGGCGTATGCACTGAGCAATCAGTCATCTGATCCCAATGGGTGCGAATGCCTGACTTCGCTGCGCTCTCATGCGGGTAGGCTATTAAGTTAAAGGCTCAAAGTGGAGTCCCCTAAGACAACTCCCTACCTTGATTGGGGCAACCGGACAGTAGCGAGTTCTCTGTGAAAACCATGGATTTCGTAATTATTACTAACACGCATAATTCTGCTGCCACTTTCGCTGCGATTCGTGCTTCTCCATCACACGGAGGTGTCATCGTCTACATTCGCGGAGATTGGTGTACATCCGTTTCATGGCTCCCAGGGTACTCAAACACATCAGTAGGCTGTCACCAGTTGGAATGCAAACCAAGGCTTCCGAGCAGTTTCCTAATTATCGTAGTTTGAAACGTGTATATAACTACCGACAGCGCTGTTCCAACTTCAACCGTTTGCTGTTCACCATGCTTTCGAATTGCAACCAAAATTAGAACGTTACATCTGTGTTCTCGCCAACGACTTTAATAGAAGTGATATCGCTTTCATCAACACGTTGGGCTTAGCCAACTTGGTAGAACCCCCCACCATACTTGATGGGCATCTAGATTTGGTTTTTACCAACAAGCACAATCTTTTTTCCACACAGAGGCGCTGTCTTTGGTAACTTCGATCATCACATTATACATTAAGACCAACAATGTTGAGCTGACAAAAACACCACCCATTACTGTTAAACGACAGGACTGCTCAAACAGATAGCATCGAAAAGCTCAAATCAAGACTTTCTCTAACTGATTTTACCATTTCCACGAGTCAAATATTGTCAACCCAATGGAAGCATCTCAAGGACCATATTGACTGCTGTTTCCATCTGTGTTACTCCATTGAGACAATCCATTTGTGGTATGGTAGACTTTCCTCTCCGTAACTCCAGCAGCTGCGGAAGAATAGAACAGGATTCTAAGCAGGCTAACTGTTTGTGTATAAATTCTGTTCGTGACCATAAACACTGATCTATATAGCTTAAACAGTCCGTACATTCAGACCGTTTTAAGCAACCACAATTTATGTGATCTGTGGCGACTCCTAAGACAACTCTCTGGAAAACATTCCGGGGAAACACTCAGTATTGAGGATATATACAAACTTAATGCTGAGTTCAGCTCCACATCACTTAACATACCTCCTAGCTTCCCTCACCACCTCAGAGCCTCCCACCTTATTTGGTCTGTACCTGATGAGTACAAACAAGGATGCAACGCGTCGTGGAGTACAGGGATGAGAAAGAGCAACTATGAAACCATCCCACAATTGTTTACAAGGAGCTCGCAACTGAAATCAAACAAGGGTTGTGGACCGGATGCTCCACCAGCACTTGCTCTGAAAGATGGCGCAGGTTTTAGATACACCTTTGACAGAGATATTGAACCCATGCTTAACGACTGGTACCATCCCCGACATTTGGAAATCAGCCAGATTACACCAGTGCCTAAAAAGGGATCTTGGAAATAACAGCCCGTTGCGTGCAACTCTGTGCTGTTGATGGTACTGGAAAAACTACTTATCCCCCACATTTTCACAGACAACGAAACTGATGATGTCAAATAGTGTGCCTTTAAACTAAGGCGTTTCGCATCTAATAATTGCGTTCGCGTTGGCTATTCCTCGATTATACCAACGCCTTTGGGAGTCTCGACAGATTATTACTGCTCAACATTTTATACGGAAATGAGATTAGTGTGCTGCTGGGTTACTTCATGAATCGCACACTTCACGCAGCTATGCGGCAGAAAATCTTCCGCACCCCCAACAAATTGTGGTGTTTTCCAGGGAACTATCCTACATCCTTTCTGTTCTCCATCTACGTCAAAAGTCTCCCTATCCCATCGAACTTCATTTGTCGTAGATATGCTGAAGACGTCGTCCTGGGTTGCGCAACCCCAATCATCGAGGATTTTGTAACTCCAGCCTGGGTTAGATGAACTAGTGACTTGGTCGAGCTCCCTGTGCATCTCTATCAAGCTTTCCAATGGTTTTTTTGCTTAAAGTGACTA